TATCGACCATGTATTGGGGCGTGCGATGCTATAATCAGAGGATTTTGTGGACAAAATAGAGTCTTGGAGGGCAATGATTGCCTTACTAGGGTTGGTGACTTTATGCTCAATTACACATCTTATATTAGGTTGGTGGATGGTTTGTGTTTGATGGGGTACTTGTATGAGGCTCTTCATGTGTTTGACGTGATGATGGATCGAGGGGTCCCACCAACAGTTCACTTGTACAAATTGTTAATCTTTGAGTTTTGCAAGCGAGGATGGGTTGAGGTGGCTGAGAAGTTGAGTGTGGGAATGGAGTCTTATGATCTTTCAATGGATAAAGTTATGTACACTTTCTAAATTATGGGCATTGGAATAGCAGGAAAATGAAGACTGCTATGAGTTTGTTTCTGAGAATGCTTAAGGTGGGTTGTGAGCCAGATAACTACACCTATAATACATTGATTCATGGGTTTGTGCACTTGGGTTTGTTTGACAAAGCTTGGTTGTTGTATAAGAAGAAGGTGAATTGTGGATTGAAGCCTAACATGGTAACTTACCAAATCATGATTAGCAAATACTGCAAGGACAAGAAAGTTGATTGTAACTGAGCTCTTGAACTACATGCTCCAGTGCAATATAGCCCCCAGTGTGCATTGTTACATAGCCTGAATCAGTGCACTTTGCAAGGAACAAAGGTTCGAGTGAGTAGACCGTCTATCTCCTGATGCTGGGCAGTGGGATTATTCCTGACCATGTGCTTTTCTTTACCCTTGCCAAGAATCATCCAAAAGGGGATGAGGTGCATGTATCCCTTACAATTTTGCAGGCAATTGACACAAGGGCATACGAGATTGAACTTTCAATTATTCCTAGCTACATGGAACATAAATGTGCAGACAATATGATGCTTGAAACTGAGTGTCTGCTGGAGGACATTGCCAGAAGCCAGTCTTGCTTAGCTGATACTGCATTTTGTATCTACATGATTGCATTGTGTATGGGCGGGAAACTTGACTCTGCTTTTCTCTGTATAGATAAGATGGCGAGTCCAGGTCTCTTGCCTTTACTTTCTGCATATAATTCCTTGATAAAAGCAGAGTCAAATTTCCCACCCATAGAATGCAAAGATAGGGAGTGCAACCTAAGCAGGTGACTTTCACGATCCTGATTGATGGCCATATCCAGTTTGGGGAACTAATCTTGCTGTTGGCTTGTTTAATAAAACGAATGCTAGTGGTTTTGATCCAGATCAGTTACTGTATAACAATTTAAAAAGAGGCCTTATTAAGGCTAGAAGGCTATTTGATGCATTATCACTATCACATACAATGCAGAAAAGAGGGTTTTTACCTTTGAAATTGATATACGAAATTTGCTTAGTTGGTTTTGTGCTAATCAATCTAGTGTTAATGCATTGAGGATGTGTGAAAGATATGCTTGCTCATGGTTATATTCCTTGCAATTATAACCTTCACTGGTTGATTTCCATTTTACACAAAGATAACAAGTGGGACGAAGCTTCTATTGTGCATTATTTGATGCTCAAGAAAAGAAAATTTGGAAGCAATCGTATCCAGAGGTTTATGAATAGGCTTCCTGGACAAATGAATAGTGAGAAAGCTGGGGTTTAGTTCACTATTGCTGTCATCATTGTGCTTGCTGATTATGTGCAGGTTATTGAACACGGAGCAATACCTTCAGAAGTTAATCACTTAGTGTCTTCTGGTATTTAGACTTCACATTGCTTTACTTTGTGATTGTTCTGTCTAATCAATTTATAGTCTTTATAGGTGTGCCTGTAATCATTATTTAGCATGAAGACCAGGTGCATGCTACCAACTATTCTTTATTGTTTTCTTCAGATGAATGCTCAGGTTTTGACCTTGTAAATATGTGATGTATAACTAGTTAGCGTTTAAATATTCTGTATGTCATACAATTGTTGAAATAGAAAATATCTGTAGTCTTCCAATTGTTGAAATAGAAAATATTATTCCCATGTTTTCAGATGGTGTTGGAGAGCTTCTTACAAATATCTGGGAATTGAATTGTTTTTCTGGGCTGCATTGTTTCGTAATATCGTTCTTCAAGTTTTTTTGTCTTTTTGTTTTTTTTTTTTTTAATCTTTCGGCCTTCATTGCTAATCGTGAACTTGAAATGTTTTGAGCACAGAAATTATGTTTTTATTCCTTTCTTTCTTTCTTTCTTTCTTTCTTTCTATTTTCATCTGGTCTTTATCATGTCTGATGTAACCCAGATATTACCATATTCAACCAGGCTATCTTTTGAATGGAAAAAGTTTGAACTTTTGTAAAAAGGGAAGGGCAAATTGAGTCATCTCCTTGGAACTGTAAGGCTGGGATGAAGATGATTCTATGGTGATGTCATGTTTGTTGGACGCTATGATGCCTGAAGCAAGTGATTCTTGTATGTTTTTGGAGACATCGAAGGACATGTGGGAGACCTGCAAAAAATCTATTAAAAGGTTCATGATTCTGCTCAAATCTATTGAGACCAGAATTTCAACTATTAAGCAAGGTCATCAGTCAATTACTAAATCTATGGCAAGATCTAGATCAATATCAGTGAATTAAGATGAAATGTGCTGATAACATTGTCTCTTGTATAGAATTTGTGCATGTAGATATCTTTACTGCATCATATGTATTAATTTCTGCAGGCTATAGAAGACCCTTTTTAGGCTACAACTCATTAAAACAACTTTATTTTTTGTGGGTTGTGCTTTTAGACTGTGGATCTTGTATTTTAGAATATAAAATGCTGAGACAATTATAAAATGCAAACCACTTTCGAGAACGGTGCAAATAAAAGTTTCACATAGACTAGATATAAGAATGATCTTGAGCTTGTTGAGATATTGAGCTACTTTGGATATTAGGTTAACTTTTTAGCATGGAACTCCAAATCCAATAAGTGGTAGCTATGCCACAGTTTAGGCATGATGAATATCCAATCATTTGTGGACGATATGATTAGCTTTCATCACAAAAGTTAAGAATGGATGGATCATGTGATGCTTTCTGATTTGAGGGATGGACAACAGATTATTGGTTGAGGGATCGAGATGCTGTATTCCACTCAAAGAGATTGTTGAGAAAGTACATACAAGAAGTTTCACATATGAAGAATTTAACTCTTCTAACTTTTTGGGGATAGAGTCCATCTCAAGCCCATTTTATTGAAGAAATCAATGTTTATTATTAGATTATACAATCAATTATACACATCATGGGAAATTGCTGAAAATTGACAATCGAAAGAATAAAGAATACAACGTACAATCGAAAAGTCATGCACAACTGAACAAGATCAATTTATAGGCCGGCAGTGAATGGCACATTGGTTGCTGGCAGCCATGACCGGCCAGCAATAAAATTTGCCGCTGTGAACCTTGATGCCTCAGTTGAACTAGTTATAACACGGTAGCCTCGCCACCTGACTCGCCTGGTGGTGGCAGAACCTGGGCCAGAGTTTCTATATTCTCCATAGTACAATGTATTCAGAGCAAAATTACCATCCCGCTCCAGCCACCCTTTTGGATCCACCAATGAATCCATGTACGTTTGAAGAAAAACTGTACGTGAATATTGCTTCCAGGGCCTTCTCAAGAAGGTTCTAAACGAACTCAACGCTGGCACAAGATCGGCTGCAGCCATTACGAGTGAGTTATGGATTGAAATTCCGGTGTTCTGGTTCGGATCCGTCCGGCCTTGTGCTGTAATGGTGTTTTTCTGTTTATCCATAGGCCTTCTTGCGTATATCATGCAGTTTTGAAGTACTGCTGCTGCATTTCCGAAGATGAAATCTACTGTTCCATATATGTAGCATTCCTTGTAGAATTGGCGTTGGGAGTGGACGTAAAGAGTGTCTTGGTATCCTTCGAAGCTGCAGCGGTAAAAGACGGAGAGGTCGGAGCCAGAGCGGAGCGCTACAGCTTGGTGGTTCTGTGGGCCGACAGTGTTTCGGAAGGTGATGCCACGAACTATGAATCCTTCGCCGGTGACAGCTGATGAGCCATGAATTTAATGAGAACTAACCATGTTTTATGAAAAGCATATAACCCTACAAGAAATATAAGATTATTTTGTTTTATTATTCATTTCGATAGATATGAAAATTGACTCTTAATTTTCAAGCAGAAGATTTGTGCTTCTAGAAGAATTTCAATGTGAAATGATTCATCATTTTTGTCAAGTATTTGGAATTGAAACATTATATGATAATTGTATAAACTGAAATCCGAAGACCTCAGGAAAGAAAATCAAAGCAAGTTTTAAGTAGGTGTGGTGGCCGGTGGAGGGACGGGGCGTTGAAGTTTCAAAGAATTTTTTCTTTTTTATTTTTCCTGTGTGTGTAAAAAAAAAATCTACAAATTTTGAACTGTTGATGAAAAAACGAATATTGTGACGGATATATTGAAAGCAAAACATAAAGAAGTAAGTTGTCATCTCTTTAACAATCTAAGGCTTTAAGCTTTTACGTGAAGAAGTTGAACACAGGTGGGTGAGGTGGACGAGAGGAGGAACTTACCGACGGTTGCCGAATTGAAGGTGGTGGAGCCTCCGCCAACACTTCTACTGCCAGTGATAATAGTGTATTTCATTCCATCGCCAACCAACATGATATTCTTCAATTTATTGCCAATCTCTAAATTCTCCCGATAAACCCCTCGTTTCACATATATAACGAATCTTTCACTGCCACTCCTTCTTACTGCAGCATCAAGGGCAGCCTTAATGGTCCGGTAGTTCCCAGACCCATCCTGAGCCACCACGAGGGTGGGCCTAATGGACGATGTTTGCAACAGCTTCCTGTCTCCTGGTTTAACCCAAGTAGGAAATCCGTAATAGGTTTCCTTATCGATAGTTCCATTATTTCCAAGAGCCAAAGTGTTGCATATCAATTTTGACACATTATTCGACATCAAAGGCAGCATGAAATCCGAAACACTGAGCTCCATAAACCCCGTTCGACATGTCTCGAGGTTTGTCAACGCGGTACTGAGCTACGTTTGAGCATCAAAATCTGTACATTTGGCGTTAGGGTCTATGGTTTTGTTAAGCTGCTCAATAGTGCTTTCATATAGCTCCAAACAATCAGCCCAAGCAGCTTTCTCTCGCTCGTTTCCGCACTTAACCCCAAGTTCTTTAGTATGAACCTGGGCTTTGAGTGCACGTTCCATGGCTAATTCAATAGCCATTTTTCTGAAATCGGACTTTTGTTTAGGTACAAAACGTCGTGAACCGTGATTCATTAAATATTTGCACGGTTCAGGGTACGGGGTTTTGTCGCACCACTTGTTTATTCCATCGGAGGGGATTGCCGAGATGTTGGCGACGAGAAAGAAGAAGGAAATCAAGAATATGAAAAAAGAAAGCTTGATGGCCATTTTTGAGCTCTATTAGTTTCTGAATATTGTCATTACCATGAGATCGTTTGTTTATATGGTAGAAAAAAGGTGGTGCCACTGCCAGGTTGTATTCTAGATGCGAATTACATAGTTGACTATGAAAACAAACCAATTCAAATGCAACATCTAACAAAGATTATTCTTAGTCCACTGTATATATTTACTTTTTTCAGCCAGTAGAATATGACTTCGTTAAAACAAAGAAAATCAAACGTAAAAGATTATTTTGAAACTCCCCTGGATTATTAAGAATGAACAAAACACTACTAAGGCATGTTTGACACAACGTTTTAAAAGTCAAAAACTACTTCTGAAATTAAGATACTAGTTTGAATAATTTTTTTGAAGTTCTTTATTTATCTAAAAAAATATTTTATAGAAAGCTGACATAAATAACTTTTTAAAAATGGTCTTCTATAAGAAATAGAAACAAAAATAGAAGCCTTACCATTCCTTCACAATCCATACATACGTATTTGTACTCCAAACTCAGCAAGATATTTTTTAATTTATTAGTATTAGTTCAATTTAATTTGTCAAACATACCATAAAAACACAGTTAACAAAAAAACATTTGAATAGAATCATCACTTGGTACTAGTTACAGGGCTACAATTGGCAGCACCAAATTTTTGTGCACAAATCGAACATGAATCACGTCGTGCATGCCAATTGCCAATGCTATTCTCACTCATTAAGAAAAATAATAATATGTTGAAATAATTATGGAAATAAATAAAATAATAAGATGAAATAAATTATAATAACAGGAGTAATGTCGTGTGGTGGTATGTATCGACCCGCCAAATGAATTTGACTTTCTTCAATCTGCACGAAATTTCGTTTAGCGGCACTAAACGCGCTTTTATTTATTTATTATTTCTCCTTGCTTAAGAAAAAAAGAAGAAGATTGACATCAATCATACATTTTTATTAAATAATATATATCTATATATAATCACGTGCATACTAAAATATTTATCTGAATTGTATAATACCTAATACTCCATAAACTTTGCATATATAGAAGTTCAAAGTTATTAGTACAAAGTCTTACCTTATTTCTTAATTTTTAGCTTGACGTATTGAGAGTTCATGTGTGTCTTATTCTAGCATGATTTTAAAGAGTTAAAACGAAATTTAGGTTTTTTATTTTTATTTTTTTCCTGATAAATACTATCTATCTATGTAGTTTTATATACCGAATTCGTAGAAAGAGTTGTAAAGAAGTTAAATGAGGGAGAGGGACATTGATATTTCCTTGTACTTGATGGGCACATTAGTAGTTTGCAGATAGAAGTCAACAACAACAATAACATGTGATGATGATACATTGATTCACGCACATATAAAAACAAAATGAATTATCATGAAAATTTTCGAGTATTTTATTTAATTAAAAATAATAATACAATAAATCATAAAGTGACACACCCCGCTCCGTGTAATATCACTAGATCCGGACGTGGCATGCCCCGATGATAGATACCAACTAAAAGTCGGATCCATCATCAAGGCTACTACCAGTACAATATATCACTTTTTATACATCATTTCTCTAACAAAATTTCTGCATTATCTCCCCTGTAAACAGGACTAGCCAACTTGTGATCAATTTCACACAAATCCCAAACTATAGCACAGCATAATAAAGATAAGTCGAAATCTCCATTTTTATCAAAAAATACAATGAAATATACATATGGATACATAATACATAGTGAACCCTATAACTATCTACAAGTGATGCAAAATCACATTTTAGACATGAACATGCGTCCCAAAACACTGACTACATATTCTATGAAGTGAGTTATACTAACAAACTCTGTTGTGTGGCTCTGACTCCAAAATCAAGGCTCAACTTCAAAAAATGCCCAGATTTTCAACTGCTGCCTGATAAGGAAAAACGTGAAAAAATATATTAGTTGATAGTTCAGTGAGTGAAGAAATTCAAAATAAATATACTTTTTCATTTATACATTTTTATTAAAGATCTAATTCATACCATTTGATAATTCATAAGCTACCATCATGTAATTGTAGCCAAAAAGTGAAATATTCACATAAGGTCATAAAAATATCATCTTAAAATCATGATATAACATTAGTTGATGAATATGCTCTAATCTCATCACATCAAACGTGCTGAAAAATTCACAAAAAATGTACCATCTGACTGAAATATGTAATCCGCTTCTCGGGCTAAAAACTTTCGCCATAGGCCTTTGGTTCCCTCCGTGAACGAAAGCCGGTCTCAAAGACCTCATAATCAATTCTAGAATACGGCTAAGGCTCCTCTGTGAACTATATGTATACGATCAAGACCAATGTTAGATCAAGACCCTC